TGTGCCTGCCTCTGGGACGGGAGATGAGGGGTGTGTGTCTGCCCCAAGGTGGGCAAAGGGGGTCTGCTGGTGCCCCCAGGGGTGGGCATTGAGGGGTCTGCACCTGCCCACCCCTCTTCCCCAGGAGAGACTGGGAATCTGTGCCTGCCCAAGGTGGGCACTGGGGGTCTGTGCCAGACTGCCCCCCTTCCCCGGGTGGGAGATGGGGACTGTGTCTGACCTGCAGGGCGGTTGGGGGTTCCAGCCCCAAGACACTCATCACACTCATCTTCTTCCCTCCCGTCACTCAGTGCCTGGATGGGATTGACTACGACTTCAATTTCGGCTCCCACATAATGGAGCAGAAGGAGCCCCTGATGGAGACGGGTAAGGGCCCCTCTGGCTGTGCCCTCCCGGGGGTCCCCGGCTGCAGTGGGGTTTCCCAGCAGGCTGACTCATGCCTTGTAGTTCCCAGCAGCACCATGGGCTGTGTCCCCGCTGGCCCCACTGTGGGCTGGCTGGGAATCCCTGCCCCGTGCCACTGGGACAGGGACTGTTTGGTCTGTCCCCGCTGCTCAGTCTACAGGGACCTGAGGTTGGGCTGTGATGGGTCCCCCGGAGCTCCCTGAGTGCCAGAGCATCCTCTGGTCCTTCCCTGCTCTCCCTGCAGCTCTGACTGCTTCTCCCAGCTGGGCTGTGACAGCACAGGGGCTGGGGGCCCTGAGCACCCCCATGGGACAGGCACGGGTCACCTCACCTTCAGCACTGTCCCCGTACCTCCAGCATCCTTACTGGGAACATGCACTCTGGTTATCCTGTGTTTCTCACTGGTGCTTTCGTTATCCTGTGTTTCTCTCCTCTGTCCTCCAGCGGAAGGTCCCTATCTTGTCATCATCGAGCAGCCAAAGCAGGTAAGGACATCACCCAGGTAAGGGCAGGTGTCACTGTCACTCCCTGCTCTCATGGCGTCAGGTTTGGGCCACCCTTGGTTGACCCTCTCTTTGCCTCTGCAGCGGGGGTTCCGGTTTCGGTACGGCTGTGAGGGCCCTTCGCACGGCGGGCTGCCAGGAGCATCCAGTGAGAAGGGACGCAAGACCTATCCCACCGTCAAGGTGAGCACTGCCCTGGGAGGGGACAGGGCAGCGTCTTCAGCCAGTGTGCGCAGGCACCAGGAGGGTGCCTTGAAGGAAGAATGTGACCTGTATATTAAGCTCTGTGTGTCCCCTGGCACTGGAGAAATGGGAGGGCTGCGGCAGGAGGGGGGGTGGCTGTGGGGAGCGATAGCGGGGGTTTGTGGGGAGTCCTGCAGGCTCCCAGGGCGTTGTGCCTGACTCCCATCGCCTTTCTCCCCACAGATCTGCAACTACACCGGGATGGCCCGAATCGAGGTGGACCTGGTGACACACAGCGACCCTCCTCGCGTGCACGCCCACAGCCTGGTGGGCAAGCAGTGCAACGAGGCAGGCAACTGCGTTGCGATCGTGG